AGCATTGGCTTATGGCCAAGCAAGAAGAATTGAATCAATTTGAAATAAAGTACATTTGGGACCTTGTTCCTTGTCTAGGAGATCATCAAATTATAGGCACTCGGTGGGTATTTAGGAATAAACTTGATGAACATGGTGTGAAAACAAGAAATAAGGCCCATCTTGTGGCTCAAGGGTATAATCAAGAGGAGGGCATTGATTATGAGGAGACTTATGCTCTGGTTGCTCGACTTGAGGCTATACACCTTTTATTAGCTTATGCATGCTCTAAGAACTTCAAATTATAGCAAATGGACGTAAAAAGGGTGTTCCTTAATGGATACATAAGTGAAGAAGTGTATGTTGCTCAACCTCCTGGTTTTGAAATTTATGAGTTTCTTAATCATGTGTTCAAGCTAAAATGTGCTTTGTATGATCTTAAACAAGCCCCTAGGGCATGGTATGATCGACTTAGTAAGTTTTTGCTAGAACAAGAATACTCTAAAGGGAAATTAGACACAACACTCTTTATTAAACGTCAAGGAAAGCATATTTTACTAGTTCAAATCTATGTTGATGATATCATTTTTGGATCTATTAATATGAATCTTGTCAAGGAGTTCCCTAAGCTTATGTAGGAAGAGTTTGAGATGAGTCTAATGGGAGAGTTAAACTACTTTCTCAGACTAAAAATAAGCAAATTGATGAAGGAATATTCGTATGTCAAACCAAGTATTGTCTCGAATTGCTCAAAAGATTCGGTATGGACGGTGCAAAGGAAATTGACACACCTATGGCAACAAATGGTAACTTGGATAAAGATGAAAAGGGTAAGGATATTGAGGTAAAAAGAGATAGAGGCATGATTGTATCTCTTCTTTATCTTACCGTATCTAGGCCTGATATTATATTTAGAGTTTGTATGTGTGCACGATATCAGTTTGTTCCTAAGGAATCCCATTTGAAAGCGGTCAAACACATTCTTAGATACCTCATTGGTACCTCTAAGTTTGGGCTTTGGTATTCCAAGGGAAACAATTATAGTTTTCTTGTTTATTCCAATTCCTATTTCGCCGGTTGAAAATTGGATAGGATGTACCTCTAAGTATGTTACCAATTTCTCCTTGAAAGTAAGATTTGCCTTGATGTATGTTACTAGTTTCTTCCAAAAATGCTTGATCTTCTCTCAAATAATGAAAACCATGAATGTTCATTCCCAATCTTTTTTGATTAATAACCATTGTGCGTTCTTGATCCATGCGCTTATAATGACTTCATGTATTAATTCCTTCATATTTGTATAAGTTTGTTCTTTTATACAAGCATGTGCTTTTATTTATTTCTTATTTCTTGCACTTGTGCTTGAATTATTTGTATGCACGTTATTTATAATATATGTTTATTGTTGTCTTAGTTTCATGGCATGAAAACCGTCTTCATTTTGGTTTTAGTAGCGACATACTCTTGTTACTATGCTAGGCACATGCGTGTGCGGCATCAGGAGTCCCATTATGAAGCGTTACATGGTCGTGACGTTACAAAAACAACCCGACATTATTATTTCTTGCTTATTTAGTCTTTATGTCGTACATTACATTTGTTGTAGTGTTATTTGTTCGTTATTTAAAATTTTGCATCATCACATATATCAGGGGATATGTGTTTGTTGCTCTTCTATACAAAATTACCTCTTATTGTTGTATTAGTATTTTTATGGAGCTATGATACTACTCATGGTTTTCTATCTTTCTTTTTTATGTTTTTAAATGGGGATAAGCATATGCGAGTTGAAGTAGGGAAGCAAAAAGTCAGGGGGGGCTTCAATAAATACAAGAAATGCATCGTCGCAAGTTTTGCCATCATAAAAAATGGGAGTATGCGAGTACAACTTCTTCATCAATGGTTTTGAATGATGTCAAAACTAAAAAGCTAGAAATTTTGTATATTTGATGGTATCCTTGTGTCTTGTGGCACTCCTGTGTATTAGAGGTCTTAGGAATCATTAAAAAGAATTTTGAAATTGATCCAAGTCATTAAAAACAGTTGTTGCAAAAAACTTTATTGCATGTGTCGACACATCTATCTTTTAGGTCGACACATAAAACTCATTTTTAAAGCTTGTAGCCTCTGGAAGACTCAGGCCGACACATGCATTGTATAGGTCGACACATACTGAAGCATTTATGAAATTGCAGAAATTCTTATTTTAAGTGTCGACACATCCATTTTTCAGGTCGGCACATTTACTATCGTTTTAAAGCTTTTAGCCTCCGACTTGTTTCGGTCGACACATACAGTTTAAAACTTACGTATGTCTCGAAACATACAATATATATAGGTCGACATATCCTGTTTGTTTGGTTAATTTTTCCAAATCTTTTTAATTTTTAATTTTTCCTTTTTGCCCTAAATGTTCCAAAACTATAAATACTCTTTCACGCATCATTCATAACTTGGTGAAACTATAAAATTAGCATACTTCTCTCTTCATCTTCAACCTCTAACCTATGCATACACACTGACATTACATTGTAATGATGTTCCGTTGGGGTGTCATCTAGACGAGCATTATTAGTGTCCAATTATGCATTTGGTTGAGCTTTCCAGGGGTTTTCATCTAGGAAAAACCACGGGTTTGTCCTCCAAGATCATTGGTTCATTTAGGGGTTTTCGTGCATGACGTTCGAGAGGTAATTGCGGGAAAGTGAAGTCCTTTGGAGATAAATAATGCAAGGGATCCTTTAGAGATAAAGAACACAAAGGAATTAGTGCGAGAATGGAAGATTATAATTGAAGTCTTGTGTTGCAATAGTTGAAATTGACGATGCACGAAAGCTTTGGATATAAAGAATGCAAAGGAGTAGCAAGATCCAGATGGTCAATTTGCATCTATTGTGTCTTGGTCTTTCTCAAGATCAAAAGTGGAGAAGGGGTTCAATAAACAACAAGCTTAGGATTTGTGGAGTTACTCTTAAACACTTCTCTTCTATCAACAATTTTGCATAGTAAGAATTATCATAATTCTATTGGAATTAGGCGCAGACGTACCCATATGTGAGGACGACAGTGGAGAATTGTGAAGACAAATTCCTTGTGTCTCTTTTATTTTTGCTTTTACTTGCTTTGATATTCATTAATCAATTTGTCAAATAGAATTGTGTTAACAATTGAATTGTAATAATTTTGAACTGTTTTTTATTGTAAATCAAGTGTTGATATAGCTTATAATCACTTTTGATTATAAGTGGTTTTGTGTATCAATACAATCAAAGGAAAATTTCTGAAAATTCACTTGCACACCAAGTGTTTGATAAATTGATTCAACTGGTTCTTTTTAATATTGCCATTGGAAATAGCTTTACTGGTAACTTGTGATAAATGTTAAATAAGTTATTAAATGATTTAAGTATATTAATTCAATTTGTTGTTCTCATTCCATATTAGATTTGTTATTACAATTAGCATATCTGAGTTTCCAATAATGTTCGTATAGACGATATTTTGAAAAAGCTTTTGCATTGCTCTTTGATAAAATAACTTTTTTAAAATCATATTTTTGTATAATTTTTTTAAAAAGGGGTATCTATTCACCTCTCTCTAGATACGTTGTCATCATTTAACAGTGGCGGGTTTCCTAAGTGGCGGGATTTGCCTAAATGGCTGAATTTGCATTTGCATCACTATTTCAAGGCATATGAATTATTTTACCTTTATGGTTAGTTCCCTTAGTGGCAGATTGCCTTTGTGGAAGGTTATTTTCCTCATTGATATGAGATGAATTATTGTGGTGCCTTAGTGGTGGATTATTTTTCCCATTGATATGTGATGAATTCTTTGTGGTGCCTTAATGGCGGGCTGATTATATTTGGATCATGTAGTTCTAAGAGCATGCATATTCGCACATAAAAATATTTGTTAAATAATAATTTTTGTGAATTTGATTTCCCTTAAGCTATTATGTTTTGTATGATTTATTTTATAATATCATACTGTATTTTTTGTTTAATTTGATATGAATGATGGAAGATTGACCCCTTACAACCAACATTTTAGGTACCAATGAATTTGAAGATGTGAAGTGAATTTGTTGTGATGCTATGAATGGCCGCGTGAATAAAAAATAGGTTTTTATTTGATTTGTAATTTAATTTAAATTAAAGTATAATATTTCAATTTGGTCATTTATTTAAGTTTGACACATACTAAGAATATGGAGTGGGTTCGTACTCTGCTAGAAAATGATATTAGTGAGTTTCATTTGAAATGAATATTATAATTGTAGATCTGTCAATTTAAAAAAAAAGTGTCACGTGTTTTAGAAGTAAATATAAATTTCATAGTAATGTCTTAGACCAAAATCTAGGGCGTTACATTATGCAAATTGTAGGGTTATAAATGAATCCCTCGATCTCCTTGGATCTTAGTTCTCCTCGAATCATATCCATACTATAACTACGTTGAATAAGGAACAATACTATACCAAAAAGCAGGATCATGATAAAGGTAATAATTGAAATACATATATAAAATATTGCTTACAAATCGAGGAACAAAAGCTCGGCCAAGTCTTATAGAAAAATTAAAATATATAAAGAAGAAGAAAAAGGCTCTCAAACATTGGCACCCGAATCCAAAGCTCTAGGGCCACTTCCAGTATCCTTTCCAAAAGCATCTTCTAAAGGATCCATCTGGTCTGCGGTGATGGTAAGGCTGGGACAAAACACTCGTGTTTGCTCCAACATTTCATCTCAGACCCTGCACGCGGCTTCTACAGCTTGTTGAAGGGATTCCCGAGAGCTCTACTGAGAAACAATTACCTCCTCCTTGAGATCTTTCAAAGAATTACCCTGGTCATCCTTCCTCATCTGAAGAAATTTTTGATCCACTTTGAACATCTAACACGCTTCTTCTGCATCCTTAGAAACCCTCTTACAAAGATTATTTTCATCAGGGTCAGAAGCCTTCAACTTCCCTATTTGAGCAGCCAAAGTGGACGATCGACCATACCAATCTAACTCTTCCTATAAAGAGTTAACAACATCAACATTCGCCCGCAGCTCAGGCAATTCCTTCTCAGCATCATAATTTTTCCGCTCAAGGGCTTCACATGTCTCCTTCACCTCATCTCGCTCCCTTAAAAGCTCGATAGAGCCCATGACATCGTTCGGGCTAACAAATACAATAGAAACAAAGGATCCGGCCTTGAACAAATTACGAGAAGCATTTGAAAAAATCCCTTGCGTGGCAATTGTAGACAAACCATGAATGAAGTCCAAGTATTTAGAAGTTACGATAATAGAAAATTCATCAAGGGCGCTAGGTACTTGGGATAGAAGAATAACAGGAAGTCGGAAGAAATAGTAAGAACCTCCCACTTTCCATCCTCTAACAAGTGATCCCATTTGAAATAACCTCATTCAATAGAATTAGATGAATTATCACCCTGAGCCCCTCTTAGCAGCAGAAGGACAAGGTTAAAGTTCTTGAGCAGAAAAATCAGCCGCTGCAGTAGTCGGCTGATCCACTTTAGGAGCCATGGCCAAGATATTAGTCTTAACTATTGTTGAGGAAACAACCACATAAGCCACTCAAGCCTCCAGAGTAGAAGTAGAAGAAACAACAAGTGACACTGACACCCAGACATACAAGACATTTCTAAGGCCTTGATAATTAGAAAGGGCTATAACTTTCCATAATTGACCCACCCAATCCATGTTATCTGCAATACACAAGTTGCACTATTAAAAAAAGGGGGTGTTTAGATCCCCATCTTTACCAAATAATTTTTGTCTCTCGAAATGATCAAACACACTAATTATCACGTAAGTATCTATTTTCCTTTTCTTTTGCTGAAAAGAAAATACTTGACTGGGATCAAATCCTTCTTCATATTCGAGACCCTAATACCAAGCGTATAAATCCCCTTTCAACTTTACTTCCTTAGGAGATAGGGAATTCAACCCTGAATGGTAAGAAGGAATAGGTGTAGCAACTATATTTTTAATCAAGAGTCGCCACTATTAGTTTTTATCCTAGGGAAGGGAATCTAACAGAAAAATCTAATTTGTAGACAAAGATTCTAGGTTTAAGACTCAATTAGACGAAAGGAAGGTGTTAGGAACCTTTCATCTACCTTGTTCACAAGGATATTAGGCTATAGGTTTAGGCTTGGGGTAAATAGGATTTAAGTTTTAATTAGAAAGACTCGCCACGATTTTAGATCGTATGCCTGTGTCTCCCCTTATGAGGAATTAGAGTCCCAATTCGTAGTTCGCATGGGTTGGTGTCTTTTAGGGGTTTGCAAGCTTATTTGGAATCACTTCACACTCGGTCGGGAGTAGTGATTACGGAGATTTTAACTGAGACTGCAGTAAGCCAAAACTAGCTTGAAACCCATTTACAAAAAAGACAGTTGATTAGCTTAGTTTTATTGCAAAAAATAGTTTGAGATTTGTTTGTATTTTTTAATAATATTAATTGCAAAAAGTCTTGATTAATGCATGATAAAAATATTTTAATGTGACTAATATATAAGATAATATATGTAATTTTAATATGAAAATAATTTATTTGGTAATATTATAATATATACATATAATAATTAAAAATATAATAAATACTATGAATAATAAATATTATTAAAAAAATAAATAGTTATAAAAAAAAATAATAATAACCATTAAATAATAGAATATAAAATTTAGAATTATAAGAAAATATTTTTAAAAAATGGTTAAACAAGGGGGGGGGGGGGGGGGGTGCAATTTACGTTGACAAGTAAAAGCAAGGGGGTGTTACTAAGAAACTGGCTGGGTTAGGCCCAGGATGGTCCAGGCAGGGTGGTGAATTTTGTTTTGAACTTTCAGTAACTTAAGAATAAGGGGTGTGTGAATATCAGTTGGGATGGGCCCAACACGTTTGGGAAGGAGTCCAGGGTGATTTTATGATGCGAGGGTGTATGGCAGCTATTGTGAACCTTGGCCTAACAGCCGTTTGATGATGATCAAACGATTCTAATTAGAGGGGCATGCTAGTTACAGTGGGCGCACATGTATAGGATTAGACGGGTAATAGATTTTTATTTTTACTTTTGTTCATTTTCATTTTCAATTGCATTTCACAGAACTCAACTCTTCATCTTCCTCACTCTCTCAAACCCTTCTTTATCTTCTTCCCCGAATTGCCACAACCCTAGCTCGTTCTGACCTCAGCCGGTGGATGAAACAACCCCCTTCCCCGTCGTAACCCCTAATAAAACCCTTAAACCCAACGATTAGAAATAAGAACAAACAAAAAATCTGAAACTAATTTGTTTACCCTTTGCAATCTAGTCTGTGTTTTCCGACTCCAAGATCTTTGTCCGATTTGGCGTTAACCCATTTGCCTCTTCTTGTTTGCAGGTACTAATGAAGCTTTGGTGATGGTGAAGGCGCGACGGAGCAAGGGAGGTGAAGCTTCAGATTGACGGTGGAATGAGGAAATCGTCCATGGCCGTTAGGCGAGGGAGACAGCGGTGACAGCTATTTCAACGGCTAGCGATTAGGGTTTCAGTTGTTAGAACAAAGTTTGGTTATAATCATATCTTAGAGTTTTGATGATAACAATGAAATAAATTTTGTGATATTTATTTTATACTCTTACTCGTATGCTCTCTAAGTTCAGATGATGTTCTGACTCATGCATCTTAGAAAGAAACAGGATTCTACGGAAGTATAAAGCAAACTCAGAATGAAGAGCAAATCCTAAGCAACCTCTGATAGAAGCACGCTGAATACAACATCTGATAAATAAAAGATTAAAGCAAACTCTGATGAACATATATCGAAGAATAGTCTAATAGAAGAAAAGATCAAGTAAACTCTGAAATGGAAACGCTGCAAGCAAACACTTCAACTTCCATAGACAAGCTCTGACAATACCGTTGGTTATTAAATGCTAAGACAGCTAACGCACTCAAGTGTACTACGCGCACGAGCATTGGAAACATAAAGACGAAGCCTACTCGCTACACGCAATACGCATCATTGCAAACACGCTTCATTAAATGCATGCACTATCATCAAGGCATTAACAGTCAAGAATTGGAAGCTATATATAGAAGACCTTTTGTATCAAAGAAAGGTGGCTGACTTACGTGAAATATACTTACGCTCACTGTTTTCATACTTGTAAACTAATACTGTATAGTGGGTAGATCTTAAGTATTGGGAAACAATCTTAGTGATAAATTACAGTTGTGATAAAGCTTTTTAGAAGCAAATCTGTTTCACTACTATTAAGAGATAATTTTGTAAGTGTTCCTTGAGAGACCAGTTGGTTCATATTTCTCAAGAGGGCTAGGACTAGTTGAGTCTTAGAGGTGTTAGTAACTTGCAGTTGGCTTGTGCATTGTATTGTTAGTCACACCAGTTTGGTTATGCATTTGTAATCAGTTTGATTATAGTGGATTAAGTCCTCATTGAGAGAGGCGAAACCACCTTGGCGGGTGGACTGGAGTACTTTGAGTTTCAAACGAACCAAGATAAAAATACCAGTGTCCTATTATTATTGCGCTAGAAAAAGAAAAATTTATTCAACCCCTCCCCCCTTCTAAGTTTTTTCTCAACCTTCAATTGGTATCAGAGCTCTAGTTCTGGGTGCAAACACCTAATAGTGTCAGAAAAGGATCCAGAAGGAAAACACTACGGCATCTGAACAAAACAACAACAACTGCACCAAACCTCCTGTGTTTGATGGAGAAGACTTTGAATATTGGAAGGATAGACTAGAAAGTTTCTTTCTAGGTCATGATGCTGATCTATGTGATTTGGTTCTTGACGGGTACACTCATCCAGAAGATAAAGACGGAAACAAAATTGACAGAAGGAACATGGATAAACAACAAAAGTTAGATGTCAAGAATCACCACAGAGCCAAAAACATCTTTCTGAACGCTATCTCTAAAAATAAATATGAGAAAATCACCCACAGAGATACGACACATGACATGTTTGAATCCCTCAAGATGACTCATGAAGGAAATGCTCAAGTAAAAGAGACAAAAGCTCTGGCTCTCGTTCAGAAGTATGAAGCATTCAAAATGGAAGAAAATGTGTCTATTGAAGCTATGTTCTCGAGATTCCAAACTCTAATTGCTGGCCTAAGAGTTCTGAAAAAAGGATACACCAAGGCAGACCATGTTAAGAAAATTATCAGAAGTTTACCCAGAAGATGGGCACCTATGGTCACTGCATTCAAAGTGTCAAAAGATTTGAATGATGTTTCCCTTGAAGAACTTATAAGTGCTTTAAGGAGTCACAAGATACATCTTGATGAACATGAGCCTAAGAAGAAAGGTAAGTCTGTAGCTCTTAAATCCATTTAAAATTTTGAAACTAACGCTTTTCAGGAAGAAGAAGGAAACTCTAAAGATTCTGCGTCAGAAGAAGACGAGTTATCTCTGCTCTCCAGAAGGATCAATAAGATGTGGAAGCATATACAAAAGAAGTTCAGGAACTACAAGAGGTCAGAAGATAAACTAGAATCTTATGGACATAAGAAGTCAAGTAGAAGAGATGTAGTCTGCTATGAATGCAAAGAACCTGGACACTACAGAAGTGACTATCCTAAGCTGCAAAGAGAAAGACCAAAGAAAAAGTTTGGTAGAAAGAAAGGCATGATGGCCACCTGGGATGATTCAGAATCTTCTGAAGCTGAATCTGACTCAAAAGATGAACACGCTAATCTAGCGTTTATGGCTACCACAACAGATGACTCTGACTCTGACTCAACCAAAAGAGGTATTCTTTGAATTTTCTAGAATTGAACTTGCTGAAAGCTTATCTGAACTTCTTGAAAAATACAGTAAACTCAAAATCAAATACAAGAAACTAAAAAAGAATCTTGCATCTGATTTTGAGAAACTTGAAACAGAAAACTCTGAACTTAAAGAAAAAATTTTTAAACTCAAAGAGGACGTTCAAAAATTTGAAAAGAATTCTATTTCAGATTCTTCTTCGAGTTCAAAAGATATTCTAAAAGAATATGACTCTAGTTTTCAAACGTTTCTTGCTAAAAACATAGGTAGAAGCAAAATGGCTTCAATGATCTATGGTGTTAGTGGAAATGGCAGAAGAGGTATTGGATATAAAGCTCCCAGAGGGAAAGAAATATATAAACCTAAGTCCGTTGAGGAAATGGTTATATCATATAAGCCACTACACAAACAATTTAATTTTGGGCACACACATGATATCAAATACACTTCTCACTCTGAAAATTCTTATGCAAAATCGAAGTTCAATCTGAACTATAGAAACTCTAACCAAAAAGGACCTAAAAAGAAATGGGTACCTAAGGAGAAAATAATCTATGTTGCAGATGTCCTTAACAACTCAGTTGAAACACCAGTCATGGTACCTGG